TTTTTTATTTGTACCTGACTTCCTACTGCAGCGTGCTAATAATGTGTCATCAGTGTGTGCTCCTCCTGACAGTGAGCCATTATTTTGATGCTTTCTTCCTCAGATAAACCCTCTGAAGTGCAGCACTGTGGTGCAGCTGTACCGCACCCCGACATACAGCTGCTACCCCAGAGACTCGTGGGCCGCTCTGGTCAAGAAGCTGTTTGTCGGGGAGCTGATTTATCCTTGGAGACACAAAAGCACCAAGGTTGACTGAGAGAGAGGCAGAAACGCGATGGAGGAAGAGGAGAGACGAGGGAGCGGAGGAAAGGGAAGAAACTGAATAAATAAAGAGATGGAAACGGACAGGAAACGGACAGACGACCTTCGGGAGATGCTTTTATATTTGATGGGAAGAGCGTCACAGAGAACATCGCCTGAAGCTGCCGAGTCATCGCGTCTACAGCTTTCTGCTCAGCCTGAAGGTGGATGATGAATATTTGAGCTCACGCGGATACCAGAAACAGGACAACCAGCAAATAGTCACGTCCTGCTGGTGTTGGTTTAAGAGCTGTGGGCATAAAAACACAGAGGAAGCTCTTTCACTCTTCCAGAGTAAAATTCAACTAAACTGATCGTTTCTTTGACTTTACAGATTTACATTTTTATTTGTCGTTATAAAAGACTTTATGTTTAAGGAAGAACAACGAAACTGGACCAAAACCACTCCTGTACGAGCTGTGATCAACCATAAAAAGTAACAAACACACGTCTGATTCTCTGTTTGATTTTTATACAGTCATTTAAAATAAAGTACCCCCTCCAAACTGTAGAACCACTTTAGAAGAAACTAAACTTGAAGAAACTTAAATGAAAGGTGTTCTTTCATCAGTCTCACGTCACTGTGGAGGACTTTTGGACAGACGTGTGCCACAGCTGCTCTGGTTAATCCACCAGCAAGCACCAAGTCTTCAATCAAAGTCATGTTTTTAATGAGAAAATATAAATATTGTTTTCTTGTGTTTATGGTGAGTGGTACATTTGTAAAGCACCTTGAAGGAGCTTTTTAAGAATGACCTGATCTTGTTGTTTTGTGTTAACGTGAGTAAAACTGTGGAGCCGTAAACTGTTCGCCTTCAGTGCCGACACACAAACTCGATCAAATGACTCTTTATATTAACCAACTGCACTGAATGTGTTAATAGCTGGAATCTTTAATCCTTAAATAATTGTAACCAGAAATAATGTTTTTTTTTTAATTTTAATGTCTTTACATGTCTGTTTTTAACCTGAGAGAGATTTAGTCTAAATGAAATAATGAATGTTCTTCTTCCACTCACTGATTCTGCACGTCTGTTACAGCCGTGAAGTCTGATTTTTGTCGTTCATTTTAAATGTAATGTGCCTGTTTTGTTATGTCTGATCAAACCTTTTGACTAAATTCAGCTTTTCATTAAACGTTGGGGAAAATCCAGGATTCTGAGCA